CATGGATTACATCATGTTCTCATGTTCACCACCCAAATACTAATTACAATCCATCACCACACACATGTGCCCTCCCTTTCACCCTCCTCCCTCCCCTCTTCCCCTCTGGTAACCACCAAACCAATCTGTCTTTATGTGTTTGTTTGTTGTTGTTATTATCTACTACTTAATGAGCGAGATCATATGGTATTTGACCTTCTCCCTCTGACTTATTTCACTTTGCATAATACCCTCAATGTCCATCCATGTTATCACAAATGGCCATTGTATTGTAGTATTCCATTGTATATATATACCACATCTTCTTTATCCATTTGTCCCTTGTGGGCACCTAGGTTGCTTCCAAGTCTTGGTTATTTTGAATAATGCTACAATGAACATAGGGGTGCATTTATCTTTATGCATTCGTGTTTGCATGTTCTTTGGATAAATATCCAGCAGTGGAATAGCTGGATTGTATGGTAGTTCTATTCTTAATTTTTTGAGGAATCTCCACACTGTTTTCCATAGTGGCTGCACCAGTTTGAAATCCCACAAGCAGCATATGAGAGTTCTCTTTTCTCCACATCCTCTCTAACACTTGTTATTTCCTGTCTTGTTAATTGTAGCCATTCTGAAGGGAGTGAGGTGATGTCTCATTGTATTGTTTCTTTATCATCAGGATAGGTAGGGCAGTCGTAGTAGCCAAATGGGAGGGCACCAATATGCAGTTTCAGCTCAGAGGCCTATGAAGTTAATGCCTTGGTTCTGGTGGGGATCTGAGAACTCTCATTCAGAGTTCTGCTTTCCACCCGCACTGTTTCTAGCTCCTCTAGGCATCTTTCTCACAAGAGTAGGAAATGAGTCCCTCTAAACTGTCCCCTAAGCACTCCAAAATGATCATGAAGGTGATGATAAAGATGAGTGAGAGAATGATGCCAGATGATCATGTACATGATATCATCAATATTTATTAAATATTCCCACATGCTGGGATCTGGTCTAAGTGCTCCAGGTAGCTGGTTTCTTTTCATCTGCATGGTTACCCCTAAGATATATGTGCACACGTTATGATTCTTTTACAGATGAGGAAAGGATTATAGACTTTTAATGTAACTTGATCTGGGATAGAATGGGATGAAACCATGTTTCAATCATACAGTCTGACCCTGGCCAGAATTCTCCCCCTGCCAACCCAACCAGCCATGTCACTTCTCTAGTCATTCCACACAGACACCCTCTGTTCCCTGTGCTCTTCTCCTTGGAGGTTACTGGTAGACCAAAGTGGAGAGCAGTGGGTGGCACTTGCTGCATCAACTATAGGAAGGATGGCTGAGATGACAGGCAGGGATCACAGAAAGAGCTGGATCATGACAATTTAGGGCAGATGTGTCTCTTGCCTCTGCACCTGGGTTTTGCCTCAGCTGTCTACTTCCTCCTCCATTTTGTAATTTACCACTTTTCTATTTCAAAGAGAGACATAATATCAGTGTCTCAGGTCCATCCATAGGCAGGAAACCAGAAACTGTTGAAAAATGTACAATAGAAGCGTCATTGGTTAAGACCTATGTATCTGTGCCTTAAACTTTCTGAATTTTAACAGAATGAAGATGATAACTGCATGTGCTACAGAGATCCATAATGTAATTTCAAGTCCTACCTGCTCTACTTATTATGTAGTGACATGGAGCAAGTTCTTAGTATCTCTGAGCCTCAACATTGTCATCTGAGTTGATTCCTAGTTGATAGCACTCCATTGAGTAAGGACTCAATAGATAGTGAACACTACCTTTGTGATTAAATATGTGATGGATACATACAAGGGCAAAATATTTAAATATTGGTATTATTATTAATAACACTAAGCTTCATTTATATAATTCAACCAAAATATCTTTTGGTCTGATGGTTTGGTTTTCAATGGATACTTGACAAAACATTTTATTTTTGCCCCTATATGGATAGATACTAAGCAGTTGGAAGGAAATGACTGAGTCACATTCATTTCCAATTTCCCAGAACTTATATCACCTTTGGCACAGAGTAGGTAACAACTACAATAGAAAACCCCAAAATACGTTAAATGTTGAATAGACCCTTTTCTGCTTCAAGAAACAGAACACAGTCAGTATGGTTCACACACAGTGATGCTTTCTTGCCTGTGCCTTCATCCCTTTCAGGGACGTCCCATAGGACAGGAGACAAGATAAATTGGCGCTTGTTTGTGTGTATGTCGTAGATGTTCAGTAGAATCCATTATTTTCCATTTAATACTTTCTATAGCATTCAATTATTCAGAAACCATCACAGTGGTTTTCGTAAATATGAAAAAGAAGAGGCAGAGTGAGAACAGGATGGTACATTTTATTGTGTGGGCTGAGACACGTTTTTAGGATTTCTAGGGCCCTGAAACAAGAGAGCCTTCAGATTCTCTTCCGTATCATCAAATAAAAGATTATTAAAACTTTCTTAGGGTTCATTTCATCAATAAACCCACTGTTCCAATGATGATTCAAATTCCAGTTACAAAACAGCAACCAAATATTTCTGAATTTCCATTTTCCTTGGATGCCACATCTCTGGAAATGTCTATTATCTTTTCATTTCCTGATCAGGAACACTAGCACAGAGAGGTTGAGATATTTACACACACTTCTGTGAATTAGGGTAATGAACCAGCGGTTTTAGGGGCGCTTACAGCACTAATATGGTGGCTCATAGGATTTTCTATTAATAGTAATGCACTTTACAGCCCAGTTTGAAAATCTGAAATCTGGAAATATTATTCCCTATATAAGATGTGAATTTTCACATGAAGCTGTCACGGAATAACTATTATTAGATACTTGAGAATATTTCTGATTCTATGCCTTAATAATAGTGTGTAGTTTATAGCAAATGATTTTTCTATTGGAAAAAGAAGTGTAGGCAATAAATAGTAAAATCGAACTGGCATTGATTTTTACAACATAAACAACTGTCCTCCATGCACATATCATATAGAAATTCTCACCTGTATGACATAGAGAGAGGCAAAAGATCTTTCATGTGATTGCTAAATAAGGAAATGGCAAATAAAATGAAGTTCATCCCTCAGGTAATACTATGTATCAGTTAAAGTATTATATCTAGTATTAAACACTATGTTGCAGTAAACAAGGACATTTTAGATGCAATATGTCTAGTAATATGCTATTTCAGTAAATTTCCAAGAAAATCCTTAATAAATACATAAATAAATACTAACATGATGGAAACACTGACAAAAAATATACCCACTAAATTAATGACAGTGATTGTTTTCAGGGACAGGTGTATAGGGCAATGGAATCACACAGGAATTTAAAGAAAACTCAAATTTGATTGGTAATATTTCAAATCCCCATAAAATTTAAGTTTAGAAGCAAATATTATTAAATGTTATATTTTTAATATAGATGTTGGGTATTAATTATCCTAATAATGGGTAATACTAACTGGACGTTTTCTAAGTGCCCGGCAATATTCTAAGGCCTTGTTCTTGCCTCTGGCTTTACGTTGAGACCATTAAGAAACGTATGTGTAGAGATTATTATTTAGTTTGTTCCAGGCTGTGGCCAGGGCACTGGTACATTTTACAATAGCCACAGGTAAACACAATAATCAACTAGTATTGAAAACCATGGGTAGACCACTTTGTTTTGTTTAATTTAATTTGTTAAAACAACCTTGTAAGGTAAATTCAATTATTATCTCCGTTTTACCAACAGGGAAACTCCCCAGGTGTTTGATATGTCCATTTCTGTTATTTTCTCTTTTTCATTTTCCCCCAAATTAACTCATAGTGTGACCTGTCAAGGAGAATGAAAGTCAGAGTTGCCTTCAGGGAGTTGATTTAAGGAGAATTGTATATAATGAGAATTGATTTAAGGAGAATCCTCCTTGTTTCAGTACAGATTGAAGTGAGGTAGGCATAAGAATTGTGGGTTTCAGACCTGGTTTGGGGGCCATGCATGGTCCTACATTCTTCAATTGTAAATAAGAGAGTTGGACTTGATGAGAACACAGTCTTCTAATGTTTAGGATTAGAAATACATGTAAGCACTTTACCAAGTCACTACTAAATGGAGATCAAAAAAAAGTCACATCAAATATCAGATGTTTCCCAAATTTTATGTAGGGTTGGTATATAATCCTGCATAAGATGAGAACTTGGAAGAAACTTTTTCAAAAAATTTAACTGTTTTTAAAATTGTGAGGTATACTGTACATTAATGCCACTTATGGGGTCAATGATGCTTTATTATTTTGTGCATTTACCAAAACATGTTTATCAATGTTTGAAGTCTACCAGGCCAAGGTTAGGAGTTATATTTGAAAACACTTTTAAAAGACAACATAAATGTATGGGTGAACACATATTTCCATGGAGGTGAGAAATCAGAAAACGAAAGAATGATGAAAACCCAGGAAGATAACTTGTACACAATAAAAAGGCTTTCTGATTATGAACATTTGACTTTAATTTTTAGAATCCAGATAATCTAATTCTAGCAATTATACAGTTTATCAACATTCCAAATAAAGGGAATTTCTTGCACTGTATCTGAATAAAATAAAGTTGCTTCTAAGGGTCATTTAATTAGCATGATTTTTTTGTTGTTGGAGGGAGAAGGATATTTCTTGTATTTCTTTAGAAGAGTAGGCTGTATTTTATGATGTTCATGGATTTGCTATCTCTAAACGTCTTTGTTCCTATAACATTCTTCAGATGAGAATCTCTAAAGTAAGTGTGTACAGAAAAGATGAATAACAGAAACCTATGAGGAAAAGTTCTAAGAAAATTGGGTTTGAGATGCTGAGAAATATTGCGAAGATACTGGGCTGTACAACCTCACAAGTGAATTGCTTAAATCTACAATATGGACACAGAGCTGGGTTTCCATCTTGTTTCCTTTTTTTCCTACCCTGTTTTCTTGTTCAAAAAGTGTCCAAGCTACACAGAACCACAGAATCTAATACACGTCTCAGAATTCTTCCTTATGGGTCTCTCAGATGATCCAGAACTGCAGCCTGTGCTCTTTGGGCTGTTCCTGTCCATGTACCTGGTCACCATGTTGGGGAACCTGCTCATCATCCTGGTGATCAGCTCTGACTCCCACCTCCACACCCCCTTGTACTTCTTCCTCTCCAACCTGTCCTTGGCTGACACAGGTTTCACCTCCACCACCATCCCCAAGATGATTGTGGGCATCCAAACTCACAGCAGAGTCATCTCCTATGTGGGCTGCCTGACTCAGATGTCTTTTTTTATGCTTTTTGGATGTCTGGATAGTCTCCTCCTGACTGCCATGGCCTATGACTGGTTTGTAGCCATCTGTTACCCCCTGCACTACTCAGTCATCATGAACCCACACCTCTGTGGCTTGTTGGTTTTGGTGTCACTTTTAATTAGCCTTTTCATCTCCCAGCTGCACAATTTAATCATGTTACAACTTACCTACTTCAAAGAATATGGAAATTTCTCTTTCTACCATGATCCTTCTCAGCTCCTTAACCTTGCCTGTTCTGACACCAATAACATACATGTATTATGTTAGTGCCATCACTTGTTTCCTTCCTACCTCACTGGTCTTTTTCTCTTACTACAAAATTGTTTCCTCCATTTTGAGAGTTCCCTCATCAAGTAGGAAGTATAAAGCCTTCGCCACCTGTGGCTCACACCTGTCTGTTGTTTGCTTATTTTATGAAACAGGCCTTGGAGTTTACATCAGTTCTGGTGTCTCACTTTCTCCCAGGAAAGATGCAGTGGCCTTGGTGGTGCACACTGTGGTCACCCCCATGCTGAACTCCCTCAACTACAGTCTAAGGAACAGAGACATCAAAAGAGCCATGTGGAGGCTCCTCAGCAAAACAACCTAATATCAGTACCTGTGCCATCAATTTGGAGTGAAAGTTGGGAAACGCAGCAAAATTAAACATCTAGATTTGCAAATCCTACCTCTCTCATCACACTGTTTTGTAGCTCTCATGGCTTTCACTTCTCTCCATTTGCAATATCTGAATACTGCTTCTTTTGGTATGTTAGTGGGACTGGGGTGTATTACGGGGTCCTTTGTATATCATAATCACCACATGACTAAATCCTGTTATACCTATGGAGCCTTCTGTAGTTTATCATTGATGACCCAGGCATCACAGAAAGGTGAACAACTCTCTTTTTGTATATTTAAAAGTTATATCGTTCCCACAGCTCTTGTGTATTTTCCATACAAATTTCTCATTTATCAAATCTGCTTTTGCAGGTTATGTGTGAGGATGCATGTTGCTGGTTCTCAACCTTGCCTTTTATTGAAATAGTCTGGGAAGCTAATAATACAGATAACTGGGTCTCACCATGAAAGATTCTGATTTAATTGGACTGGGAAGTGGCCTGAGCATGAGGATTTTTAAAAACCCTCAGGTGGTTCTAGTGTGCAGCCAACATTGAGAACTGCTGATCTAAGTCCGATCTTTCATTCAAAGATGATCTGTATGTCTTGGGTCCTAACTGCTCATGGGCAAATGCCAAAGATCCTAAAGAGATCAGAGCTTCAAAAAGAAAGATACAAAAAATCTACTGTAGCAATAGGCAATGTGTTTTCTCTATTATTCCTGACAATGTTTCTTCAAATATCTTCTCTCTCTACACCATACAGCTGGGCACATGTGCTGGTTACGAAGTTATTGTTCCTCTGCTCCAAACTCACACTTCTATTCGTTGCTTTGTGATGCTGGGGCGGGACTCTTGAAATCACTGCTGTATTTCCCATCTTATGTTCACTTTACATACTTTCAATAGTGATCAGTAAAACTCACCATGCCCTAAAAGCTCAACTTTTCTCTTTTCACCCCTCAATCCCTTGATGTGGTAGCTTCTTCCTACATTATGATTACTGTATTACCACTTCATTCTTTTTTTGCCTTTCTGCCTTCAATAACTACTTAGACAATTCTTTATATTAAATTCTCTTAATTAAAATGACTAATTGGGTCTCTTTTCTTGACTGAACCATGACTGATATTGTAACATGGGGTATAAAGGTGTGTTGTGAGGTGTCTGCATTTGGAAGATTGCAAAATGTGCCCAGGTAAATGCTATGTCTTGGTCATGGGTACACAACTGGAAAATAGGTGGTGATATCATGTTTCCAGGTGCTATGTGGCTCTCACGGTGCTTGAGGATCATTGTCACTCAAGTTATTGCAATAAATTTGTCTTTTTTACATTATTCCAGGATGATAAAGGACCATGTTGTCAGGAAAGTGGAGCTCTTTCCAGTAACAGCCTGGTTAGGACTTCACTATTATTATCTCTTCTGTCATGATAACTCAGGCTTTGGGCTCCTTTTGAGTTCCACCAGATGGGTATCCATCTCTCCTTAGAGACGTCACACATCATTTTTCTGGCAGTAGTCTTAATTCTCTGAAAAGCTGTCCATAACTAGTTTAATTTTTTTTTGCCTTTAAGGAAAATCACCTACCAACTACACTGATGAGAAACTTTAATATTAGAGAAAAGAATGCACTTTACAGAAGATGAATTCAATTCATGCCAGTTAGTGGGAGGAGATTTCATTCAATAAAAATTACAAAAATATTATATTTGCATATCCACGTATGCAAACCTAAACGATAGCCAAAGAACCTTGGTAAATGCTAAAGTAATGTTGCTTTTTTGAGTGTGTCTTTTCATTTCCAGTTTATGTTCTATTAAATTTACTACCTCTTGTTTTTATCTCACATCATCTTAAAATTCACGAAGACAAATGAATACAGGAAATTTTAAATCCAAAAACATTGTAATAGAAAATACACACCTGAGTACTAATCCTAGATTTTTTACAACACGCATGAAATGCCTTTCCATAATGCACACAATTGGTAAAATGGGAGTAAATACACTTGCATCACAAGTTGGGTTAAATTTAATTGATAGAAACAATGTGAAAATTATTTAATTAAACATTTCTTCCAGATGACTAGTAAACAAGTTGGTAGACTTACATTTCAACTTATCTTACAAGGCAGCCTTTGCTGACCAAATAAGTCAGTACTCTTTTCTGTACTATTTTTAAGTACTCTTTTCTGGCTATTTTATCATTCCGTTAGTACTTCTGGAGCAGTGGTGAATAGGACAACAGACATTATTCTGGAGGTAGATGCACCTTGTTTGCAAACAAAAGTAGAGCATTTTTGTTTGTTTGTTTACTTTTTCAGTTTTTTTCCAGCATTACTGAGACATAATTGACAGATAGCATTGTGTAATTTTAAGATGTCCCAATATGACGTTTTGATACACATATGTATTTCAAAATGTTTAAAAAATAAGATTAGTTAACACATCCTTTACCTCATATAACTACCATTTTGTTGTTGTTGTAGTTATGGTGAGAACATTAACTCTACTCTCATAGAAACTTTCAAGTACACAACACACTATTGTTAACTATACTCACCATGATGTACATTAGATCCCCAGAACTTATCCATCTTATAACTGAAACTTTGTACCCTTTGACCAATATCTTCCCATTTCAACCACCCTCAGCCACTACCAATCTACTCTGTTTCTATAAGTTCAATGTTTTTAGATTCCACATTTAAGCGAGATTGTACAGTATTTGTCTTTCTCTATATGATTTATTTCCCTTAGCATGATGCTCTCAAGATCCAACCATGTCATAGCAGGATCTCTTTCTTTTTTATGGCTGAATAATATTCCATTGTGTGTGTGTGTGTGTGTGTGTGTGTATACACATATACGTATGTATACATGACCTGAATCTTGAAGTGCTTGGAGCACAAAGTCCTTTTAGAGGATGAAGCCTGTGTGGTGGGCAGTATCTAAGACGTTCCCAATGATCCCTGACTCCTCTTTTTCATGCCCTTGTGTATTTCCTTCACATTATGTGTGACATGGACATAGTGACACTTCTAACAATGAGAATGTGGAAGAAATGTTGGGAAGTCACTTCTGGGAATAGAGTGAAAAAAAAATCTATTTTTCTTCTTGCTGCCTCTCCCTTGGTCTCTCCATTGTTCATGTTGATGAGACCCAACTGCCATGTTGTGAGCTGCCCCATCAAGAGGTCCTGTGTCAAGGAGCTGAGGGAATTCTCTCACCAACAGCCTGCAAACACATGAATCCCACCTCCTGCCCTTGAGTGAGGTTTAAAGTAGTCCTCAGCTAGTCAAGCCTTGGGATAACTGTACCCCTAGCCAACGCCTTGATCGCAACTTTCTAAGAGGTCCTCTGAAGAGTTTAAGTAAAGTACCAGTTGCCAAATGAATATGTAAAAATCAATAGTTTTGTAATATGTCAATGTATTTCAATTAGATAAAAAATTTAGAATTGAAGTCTCATTCAAATTAGAAAAAAAATTCCTGTAAATCTCCAACATATAAAATGCCAACTCAAGCAAGAGCTAAGGAAATGAAATAACACTTTATCTTTAGAGACAAATAATAACTGAGAAAATGGAAATAGTATCACATTCTTGGTATAGAAGACCTAAATCATTAATACAATGGATTTACAGATATGAAAATCACACACTGAGCTGTTACATTGAAAAAAAGTCTGAATTTTATGTTAAGATCCTGCAACTTGGAAGTAAGAAGCAAGGAGTCCAGGTGAACTTCCTCCTGAGGAGAGGAAGCACTCGGACCCTTCTAAGGACATTCACTTGTCTCCTATTCCTCTTCCATTAATGTTAGCAAGTCCTCAGAGATTGGGATAACATTGGCCAACTGGCAAGTTATGAGCTTTGTGCACTGAGCCCCCAAGGTCATACATGTGTAAATAATTGGTCGTACATCGTAAATGAAAAAATAAAGGACTCCAGTCCTTTAATTTGCCAGTTCTAGTGTCATGCCTCTGTGCCTGTGTCTCCTCCCTTCGTGGGCGTCTGCATAAGAAGGTCCCAGCCTGAGTCTGTCTTCCTGCCAGAACTGAGAAGGGACCCTGAGCCTTCATCACACACCAGGCTGGAGAGGGGCAGAGAATCCATACTCCTTGTTCATGCTCCAGCAGAGATGCAGCCCAGCCCAGTAAGTGCTGTGGGAGATGCTGATTGGAGGAGGGACTGTCAGGAGCATTATTTCCTCCTCAAGAAGACAAACATGACAGTTGCAATAGATAGATGGGAGGTCACCAATGTATGAAATTTCAGATCAGATACCTATGAAGTTTACGTTCTTGGTTCTGGTGGGGGTGTGAACTCTAATTCAGAGTTCTGCTTCCACCCTCACTGCTTCTGGCTCTGGTTGGCATCTCCCCCATCATAGCAGCAAATGGGTCTCTCTGAACTTTCCCCTAACACTTCAAAATCATCACGAAGGTAAGGATGAGGATGAGGAGGAGGAGGATGACATTAACCAAAACATCATGTCTATTGAGGGCTTCCTAAGTGCTGGGCACTGCGGTATGTGTTTTATGTATCTTGTTTGATTTCATCTGCATAATATCTCCCTAATTATAAATGCACACATTATTATTGTTTTATGTAAGAGGAAAGGAGTACAGCATCTTATGTAATTTTACTAGGTCATGAGTTAGAAAGAGTTGCAACCATGTTTCAATCTGGACAGTCTGACTGCAGACTCAACGCATCTGGCCAGTCTTCTCCTTTGCCAACCCAAACTGTCATTTGAATTCCCTGTCAGTCCTGGCAGCGACTACCTGCTCACTATGCTCTTCCCTTTACGGGTTTCTGGTAGACCACAGTGGAGAGCAGTAGGTAACACTTGCTGCATCAACTATAGGAAGGATGGCTGAGATCACAGGCAATGATCATAGAGAGTTGGCTCATAATAATTCAGAGATCTCTCTCTCTTTCCCCTGCCCTTGGATTTCACTTCAACTGTCTACTTCCCCCTCCATTCTTATAATCAGCCTACTCAATCACAGAAGGAGACATAAAGTCAGTGTCTTGGGGTCCATTCATACTCAGGAACCTGAAACAGTTAAAAAATGTATCTCAGATGTACCTGTGGTTAAAATCTCTGTACCTCTCCTTAAAACTTTCAGAAATTCTAGAAACAATGAAGTTGAGTGCATGGGACTCAGAGACTAACAATTCAATTTTGAATCTTGTCTACTCTACTTATTATTAGTGTGTTATGAAGCAAGTTCTTAGTATCTCTGAAACTTACAATTGTCATCTGAGTTGGTTGCTGGTTGATACAACTCCACTAAATAAGGATTAAACAATTAATGGATGCCCTCTCTGCAATAAATATGTGATGAATGCATAAAGTAAGGGCAAAATAAACTTTAGATATTTTATTCCTAATAATGATAATGATTCCTAATTCTCATCTTACTTGACTCAAATATTTGGTGACCTGAAGTTTGGTTTTCCTACATCCCGGACAGGACATTTTATTTTTGTTTATACTAGTACATCATTAGTATTTGGAGAGAAATGACTGACTCTCATTTGTTTCTGATTTCTCAGAGCCTATATCTTTTTGGCACAGAAGAGGTATCATAAAATGTGGGCGAAATGACTTCCATATATTTGACCATTTTATGCCAGTGTTTCCATCCTTTTCAGCAATGTCCCATAGGACTAGAGACAAGATAAAATAGTACTTATTTGTGTCTATATCATGAACTTTCTATGGGACCTATTATTTTCCATTTAAAATAGCATCTGTAGCATTCAATTATTAGAAAACCATTGCATGGATTTTCATAAATATGAAAAAAAAGAAGCAGAAACAAAGGAGGCAGTAAATCTTACTGCATGTGCTGAGACACATTTTAGTATTTCATGTCATTCCCTGCTCCATTGTGCTGAGACAGGAAAGGCTTTGACCTCTCTGCCATATAATCCATAAAACATCATTAATTTGGGGGGATGGTATTTCATTACTAAACACTCTATTCCAATAATGATTGAAATTTTTATTAAAAAAATTGAGTACATATTTATTAAGTTTCCCTTAGGTGCCACACACGTTCCAGAGATGGGTGTTAGACTCTCCATTTCCAAGAAGGAGCAGAAGCACAGAGAGGTTGAGAGATTTACACACACTCCACATATTGCAAATGAAAGATTCGGGACTTAAACACAGTCTCTTTATTCTTGCACCAGGTCTCTGTCACCTCCACTGTAGCTAATGAGTATTTCTTTTCAAACCAACTGTAGTACCAATGAGCAAACAGAGACAGAAGAATTGATTCATACTCTTTTGGTTCAGTGAGTCCACTTCTGAATTATGGGAATGAGCCAGTGTTTTATAGTGGCAATAATGGCATTAACATGGTGGATTATAGGGTTTTCTATGAATATTCATGCACTTTACCGTCGGTTTTGAAAACTAACATTGAAAATATTTTCTGCACAAGGTGAAATTTTTATCATGGAATAATCATCACAAGACAGACTTCAAGGATATTTTCAAATATATACCTTAAGAATAAGAGGATGTAGTTGATAGAAAGTGCTTCTGTAATGAGACAACAGACATAGGCAATTATTAGTAAAATTGAACATGCACTGATTGTTAGAAGTTGAACAACTAATCACCTCTCACTTACTATATACAAATCCTCACTTGTGTGATATGGAGAGAGGTGCAAGAATTTCCATAAGATTGTTGTAAGGAGAAACTGATATAAATAATAATATAATATAAATATAAAATATATTTGTAAAATAAATATTTATTAACATAAATAAAATAAATTAAATTATAAATACATTTACATTATAAATATATATTTTTAATTTGTTGAATTTATATTATAATATGTAAATATAAACTTATAAACTGAATAAAATGATATCTTCCCTCATGTAGTAATGTGCATCAGTAAAATGTTTGAAGTAGTTGCATGTCCTTCACAAAAAGAATTAAATACCATGCTGTGGTAAACAAGTACAATTCAGAGGCTACATGTGTAGTACACTGTTTAGGTAACCTTTTAAGAAAATTGTTTAGGGATACATAAACCAATATTGATGTTATGGAAACATTGACAGGAAAATATACTCATCAAATTTACGACACTGGTTGCCTTTGGGGATAGGTATGCAAAAGAATGAAATCAAGCTAAGATACCAAGAAAAGTCAAATTTTATCAGTAACAGTTCAAATCTCTATAAAATATGAGATCTGAAGCAAATATTATTAAATGTTTATATTTTGAAAATAAGTAGTTTGTATTGATGATAGTAATAATAGATAATATTAACGGAGTATATTCTAAGTGTTGGGCAATATTCTAAAGCAGTGTTTCTCAATCTCAGCTGCACATTAGGATGACCAAGAACCTCACGTATAGAAATCCTGAATAAACTGGTTGTAGGCTGAAGCCAGGGTATCTGTATATTTTAAAATAACCACAGGTAAATACATCAATCCACTGGAACTGAAAACCACTGGTCTAAGCAATTTAAGTGATTTTTTCAAACTTTCTTACAATATTCCTATAAGGTAGGATCAATTATTATCCCAATTTTACAGATGAGGAAATGCCCAGAAGAATTTATATTATTCTATTTCACATTTTTCTCAATTAAATCATAGTGTGACCTGCCAAAATAATAAAGCTGAATTATCTTCAGGTAGCTGAGGTAAGAGAATTGCAATCTCTGTATCAGGAAGGATTAAATGAAAATCTGTTAACTAGACATGAGAACACTAGGTCTTAAACCTAACCGTGGGGCCTCCCCTCATACTAAACTCCTCAACTGTAAATAAGAGGGCATAAGATCAGACCAACAAGTATCAGAAAAGGTGCTGAACATAACTAATCATCAGGGAAATGCAAATCAAAATCACAATGAGATGTCACCTCACACCTGTTAGAATGGCTATGATCAAAAAAACAGAAGAAAGAAGTGTTGATGAGGATGTGGAGAAAGGGTACACTGTTGGAGGGAATGAATATTGGTATAGCCAATATGGAAAACAGTATGGAGGTTCCTCAAAAAGTTAAAAATTATTACTAATTAAAATGGAACTACCATAGGATTCAGCAATCTCACTTCTGGGTGTATATCTGAAGGAAATGCAATCAGTATCTCAAAGGGATATCTGCACTCCCACGATCATTGCAGTATTGTTCACAACAGCCAAGAGATAAAAAGAACCAAAGTGTCTGTTGACAGATGAATGGACAAAGAAGATATGATTGAGATACACACACAGACACACACACACACACACACTGGAATATTACTAAGCCATAAAAAGAAGGAAATCTTGCCATTTGTGACAACATGGATGGACCTGGAGGCCCTTATGCTCATGAGGGCATGAACATGCCAGACATAGAAAAAAATACTGCACGATCTCATTTATATGTGGAATATCAGAAAATCGAACTCATAGAGCCAAGGTGTAGAACTGTGCTTGTCAGGGGCTGGGGAGTGGGTGGGTGATGTTGGTCAAAGGATACAAACTCTAAGATGTAAGATGAATAAGTTTTGGGGATCTAATGTATGGAATGGCGACTTGAGTTAATAATACTGTATTGAATACTTGAAATCGGCTATGAGAGTAGATCTTAAGTGCTCTCTCCACACACAAAAAATGGTAAGTATGTGAGGTGATGGATGCGTTAATTAATTTGGTTGTGATAATCATTTAATATGTATATTAAATCATCACATTGTACATCTTAAAAAAAACCTTCATGCTGTACAACTTAAATATATACAATTTTTATTTGTCAATCATACCTCACTAAAGCTGGAAAAAAAACAAAAAACAATGAAGCAATATTATCAGGCCACTACAGAATAGTGTCCAAAAACAGTCAACAGTGGTCTCATACACTGTACCTTTTACTGGTATTGTATGGGGTTGATACAAATAATCCTGTATAAAATAAAAAATTTCAAGAGTTTCTTAAATTTCATTATCGTTTAGTCATCGAAAGATGCTCTGTATACTAACAGCATCTTCGTAGTCATCAATGCTGTATGATTATAGGCACTTAACTAAACCTATTTGCCAAAATTTGAAGTCCACCAAAGCCAAAGACAGGAATTATATACTAAATGACTTTTAAAAGAGAACCCTCATATTTGAGTAATCACTTATTTCCATGAAGGAGGGAAGACAGCAAACCAAGAATGATAAAATTCATGAAGATAACTATCAAATACATTATTTTCTGATTATGGACATTCAACTTTAATTTAGAATCCAGATTACTCAGTCCTTGCCTTTTATATAGTGTTTTATAAATATTCTAAGTGAAGGGAATATCTAGCATTGTAGTTTAATAAAATAAGGGATGTTTAACTACTTGTTAATTGCTTTAAATTTAAATGATTTTTTTATTAAAGAGGGAAGGGTATTTCTTATTCTATATTTTTTCTTAAAGAAGTAGGCTGTATTTATTGTGATCATAGATTTGTTACCTCAAATTGTCTGGCTCCTCTGATCCTCTTCAGTTGAATTTCTCTAAAGCAAGCGTGTATAGAAAGAGATGAATAACACAGAAATCAATGAAGAAACAGTTCTAAGATAAGATTTGTCACACAGAGAAATATTGCTGAAGATACTGGGGTATATAACCTCACAAGTGACTTGCTTGAATCCAAAATATGGACACGGTGCTGGGTGTCCAATTACTTGTTTCGTTTTTTCCAAGCCTCCTTTCTTTTTCAACAGGTGTCCAGGCTACACAGAACCACAAAATCTAACACGTGTCTCAGAATTCTTCCTCCTGGGACTCTCAGATGATCCAGAACTGAAGCCTGTGCTCTTTGGGCTGTTCCTGTTGATGTACCTGGTCACTGTGTTGGGGAACCTGCTCATCATCCTGGCTGTCAGCTCTGACTCCCACCTCCACACCCCCATGTACTTCTTCCTCTCCAACATGTCCTTGGTTGACATTGGTTTCATCTCCACCACTGTCTCCAAGATGATTGTGGACATCCAAACTCACAGCAGAGTCATCTCCTATGGGGGCTGCCTGACTCAGATGTCTTTTTTTATCCTTTTTGCATGTATGGATGATATGCTTCTGACTGCAATGGCATATGACCGATTTGTGGCCATCTGTCACCCTCTGCACTACTCAGTCATCATGAACCCACACTTATGTGGCTTCTTAGTTTTGGTGTCTTTTTTAATTAGCGTTTTGGACTCCCAGCTGCACAATTTGATTGTGTTACAACTTACCTGCTTCAAGGATGTGGAAATTTCTAATTTCTTCTGTGGCCCTTCTCAACTCCTCAGCCTTGCCTGTTCTGACACTTTCTTTAATAACATAGTCATGTATGTTTTTGGTGCCATTTTTGGTTTTCTCCCTTTCTCAGGGATCTTTTTCTCTTACTATAAAATTATTTCCTCTATTCTTAGAGTTCCATCAATAGGTGGGAAATATAAAGTCTTCTCCACCTGTGGCTCTCACCTATCAGTGGTTTGCTTATTTTATGGAACAGGTTTTGGAGTTTACCTTGGATCAACATTGTCATCTTCCCCCTGGAAGGATGTGGTGGCCTCAGTCATGTGCACCATAGTCACTCCCATGCTGAACCCCTTCATTTACAGCCTGAGGAACAGGGACATCAAGAGTACCCTGTGGAGACTCTACAGCAGACTAATCTAATCCCAGTGTGTGTGCAATCCTTTCTGGAGTGTGAGTTGGAAAAATCAGCAAAACTAAACATGTAGACCAACCAATACTCCTTCCTTGGTCACATTATTTTTTTAGTCTTATGGTTTTCATTTTACTCCCTGTTTCATATATGAAAGTTGCTTCTTTTGATTGGTCTTGAATTGGGGGAGTATTCTGGAATCGTTTGTACTTAATAATGAATGTATGAGAGGTTTTCCTCAATGACCCAAGCATCCAGGTGAAATGCATAAATCTCTTGTCGTGCTTAAACTTTATATCCTTTTCCATGGTTCCTATGTATCTTCCATATGAATTTTGCATCTGTTGAATCTATTTATTCAGGTAATGAGGATGCAGTTCATTGGACTTCAACTGTGGATTTTATTGGAATCTCCTAGGGAGTCTTGTAAGTACTGATCACCGGGTCTTATCACTGATTTTGATTTAGTTAGACTGGTGTGTGTCTAGGTATGAGCATTTTTAAAAGCGTCTGAGATGCTTCACTTGTGAGTTCCTAAGGAGATCAAGCTCAAAGGGGCAAGTTATGAAAGAGCTTATTGTAGCTCCAGGCAATGTGGTTTTCTTCTGATTTTTTTCTTCAAATAACTTGTCTTTCAACACCTGGTTGAAAGACATTTGTGCTGGTCATTGAGCTATTGTCTCTCTGCTCCAAACTTACCCATCTGTACTTATCTTTGTGATGATGGGTGGGTCTCTGAAATCACAGCTCTATTTTCCATCTGAGTTTCTTGTTATGTGTGGTTAATAATTGTCAGGAAATCTCACTGCACTCTAAAGTTAAGTTCACTACTCCCTTCACACCCCTAAGCCCTTGGCATTTTTACTGGCTCCCATCTGGCACCACTTTGTTCCATTTTTGCCTTTGTTCTGCATTAGCTATTTAACCAACTCCCTGTACTCAATTCTCTTCATTGAAATAATTAGCTTGGTTTGTTTTTTCTTGACTGAACGCTGAAAGATAAATCATAATGTCAAAAGCAAGGTATATTATGAATTGAGTGCAACTGGAATATTGCAAAATGAGCTCGTAAAATAAAAGTGGTTTAAAATAAATATCTTTGTTAAGAGTGCACAAATGAGATTTAAGTACTGGAATCATATCTCCAGTTTATGTGTGGTTCTAATGGTATCTGAGGATTATTAAATCACAAATTTCATCATAAATAAATTGAACTTTGTCTTCTTTTACTTTATGCTATGCTGCAAAGGTCTATGTTTTTGTCAAAGATGAACTCCTTTCTTTCACTAGTAACAGCCTGGTTAGGACTTCACCTTGTTACCATGCTTCGTTGACTTCTGTCATGATAATTCAGTCTTTGGACTCCGTTTGTGTTCTTCAAAATGAGTATCCATCTTTCCTTAGAGATGTCATGTATAGTTTTTGTGTAGTAATCTTGGTTCTCTGAAAGCCTGTCCAACAACTAGTTGAATTTACTCTGTCTTTTACCTCTAAGGTAAATCACCTATCAACTACATTGATAAGGAACTTTGATGTTGGAGAAGGGCATGAACTTGGCAGATGATGAAGCCATAGCAGTTAGTGGGAAGTTACCACTCAATTAAAATTACTACATTTCTATATTTGCATATACATTTATGCAATATTTATTTATGCTTGTGCATACTTGACAGTCAAAGGACCTTGATAAATGGTAAAATATGTTGCCTTTTGATGTCAAATGATAGACTCTTCACAGAGGTAACACTGTTGTTTTTTCTTTTTACATTTATATTTAGATATAGAAGAGTGTCAATGGTGGAATAACAGTAAGCAAAGTGTGACAAGACTGGATTAGAATATGAAATGCTGATAATAGAAAGAATGTAGGATATGAAGACACTCAGAGTCCAGATATTGGCTCAAAAATTTGATACCTTTGGCAACTCAAAATTTGTTTCTGAGCCTAAAAGTCCTCAGCAGCAAACTAAGTGCAATAGGGCTTATCTTCCAAGGCCTTGCAATAATTATATATAATTGTATCATGGACCAGTCAAATGGTAGTTTCCCTTCAAATGGTAAATCTTATTATAACATTAAGCAAGTTAATCTAAATAAGCATTCCATTAATTCATAAGTAACCTGATGCTACAAACTGTGTCATTTGAGTATGATATATAACATTTCTACTTAAATGCCTCATCTGTAGAGTTGTGATAACAAGAGCACTTAACTGAGGCTGGTTGAGAAGATGTAATCAAATGCACTGAATAGAACACTATTTAGTATACAGTAGTGGATCAATAAGGGCAAACCATCGCAATCAATAATTAACAGATCAGTGTATACTTTCAACATATGGGCTTTGTAGGCTGAAATTTGATTTACAACATTAGCTCCTCTAACTTATTAGCTGAGTACACTGGGATATAATTTTATAATTCTCATGGCCTCTAATGCTTCATTTTTAATGATATTTAGTTGAGAGCACTCTAGGATTTAACAGACAATATGCACATGGTAAGAACAAAGTTAATATAGATATCATTATCATCATCATCTAGTCTAAGTTTGACGTATTTCTTTTTTCAACTTTACTGAGATACAATTGACATATAATATTGCATAAGTTTAAGATGTACAATCTTGATACACTTATACACTGCAAAGTGATTACTTGATACACTTATACACTGCAAAGTGATTACCACATAGAGTTAGGTAACACTTCTATCATGTCACATAATTACCATTTCTTTTTTGTGGTGAGAACATTTAAGATCTACTCTCTTAGCAACTTTCAAGTATATAATACAGTATTGTTAACTACAAGCACTATGCTATACATTGGATCCCCAGAATTTACTCATCTTACAACTGGAAGTTTGTAAACTTGACTAACATCTCCCCATTTGCCCACCCCCAACCCCTAGTAGCCACCATTCTACTCTCTGTTCTATGAGTTTGGCTTTTTTAGATTCCCCATTTAAGAGATATCATGCAGTATTTATCTTTCTCTGTCTGACTTATTTCACTTAGCATAATGCCCTCAAGTTCCATCAATGTCACAAATGGCAGGACTTTCTTCTTTCTCATGGCTGAATAATATTCCATTTTGCATATATACACACACACACACACACACACACACACACACACCCCACATATTCATTATCCATTTATGTGTTGACAGACGCTTGGGTTGTTTCCACATTTTGGCTATTGTGAATAATGCTGCAATGAACTTAGGAGTGCAGATCTTTCTTCAATGTCCTGTTTTCATTTCCTTTAGATATATACCCATAAGTGGGATTGCTGGATCATATAGTATTTCTATTTTTAATTTTTTGAGGCACCCAAATACTGTTTTCCATAGTGGCTGCACCAATTTACATTCCCACCAACAGTGCACAAGTGTTTCCTTTCCTTCACATCCTCACCAACATTTGTTATCTTGTGTCTTTGAAGACAGCCATTCTAGCAGATATGAGTTCATATCTCATTGTGCTTTGATTTGCATATCCTTGATGATGAGTAATGTTGAACATCTTTCATGTACCTGTTGCCCATTTGTCAGTTTTTGGAAAACTGTCTATTCGGTTCCTCCACCCATTTTTTAATCAGGTTGTTTGTTTGTTTTTCTATTGAGTTGTATGAGTTCTTTATATATTTTGAATATTAACGCCACATCAGATACGTGATTTCCAAATATGTTCTTCCACTCTGTAGATTGCTTTTTCATTTTGTTTATTGTTTCTTTTGCTATGCAGAAGCGTTTTAGTTTAGTGTAGTCTCACTTATTTATTTTTGCTTTTTTTGCTTGTGCTTTTGGTGTCATATCCAGGAAATCACTGCCAGAACAATGTCAAGGAATTTTTTCCCTATGTTTTCTTCTAGGAGTTTTATGGTTTCAGGTCTTATGTTTAAGTCTTTAACCCATTTTCAGTTCATTTTTGTGAATGGTGTAAGATAAAGGTCCAATTTTATTCCTCTGCATGTGGTTCTCCAATTTTCCCAGCACCATTTATTGAAGAGACTGTCCTTTCCCCATTGAGTGTTCTTCACTCCCTTGTCAAATATTAGTTGCCTGTATATGCAGGGGTTTATTTCCGGATTCTTGATTCTGTACCATTGGTCTCTGTGTCTATTTTTGTGCCAGTATCATACCCACTCGTGGCTGATATTTGCAGTCCTGTTCTTCTTCCTTTTTTCTAGCTGTGTCTATATGTCTAAGCTTTGCCATTCTCTGGGTGGGATGAAACTGAAGCAGGTCCTTTGTGCAGGGCACTGAAAGGCTGGGGAAGCTGCTTATCCACTCCACCTTCCATTGCCCAGTGAGAGGATCTCTTGCTAGCTGGGGAGTTTCCTCTTGGGGGCAAGCAGTGCTGGGCTAGGGGAAGAGATGGTTCGGGGAAAATGAAGGTGTTCTTTCTTCCCCTTTTGTGCAGTTATTCACAGATGTTTTGTTCTATTGTGTTGCTAAAGTTTCTTCCATGGCCTCCTGAGCTAATCCAGAACTGTTTTTGTTCATGGATAGCTGTCTAATTGTTGATCTTTGTCTGGGGACAGAGGCTGAGTTCTCCTACTTCACCATCTTGGTTTTGTCAAGTTTTCTTCATATCAGTTAATGAAAAATCCATCTCTGAATTCCTCATCCAGAGACTTCTGAGCCAGGAGGACCACACAGGTGTGATGTAGAAACCAGCAAACAGCCATTGATGATTAAGTGGATAGTAACTATGGAGGATCAGAATTGGCCACCTCAAAATATGTCTCTGCCTGAATGACACTTTGGCCCCCAACCCCACTAACTAAACAAAGGAGTTTAGGATGAAAGGCCTGCCCCCTGGACATCTCTGGGTATCTGGGTTGGTCAATGCTAAGCCCATTCTTAGTTCTGGTTACTCTTTATAAGAGACATTTACATTTGTAAAGAAAATCTCCATTTGTAAACGTATCTTCTTCCCTGTACCAGGAAGAAAGGGGGGATGGCCTTACCTAGAAACTTATCAGAACGGAAGGTGAGGACTTA